TGTTATGAAAATCTGGTCAAGGAGTTTGTAGTGAACTTGTCTAATGATTGTGCTGATGGAAGGTCAGCTGACTTTGAAAGTGTTTTTGTTAGAGGAAGAAGGGTCAAGTTCTCTCCATCAGAAATTAACAAATTTCTTGGAAGAACAAATGAGGATTGTCCTGATCTGGAGGTCACTGACAATGAAGTTTGTCAAACCATCACAGCAAGGCAAGTGAAGTGCTGGCCCTTGAAAGGCAAGCTGAATGCCAGCAAACTCAGCATGAAATTTGCCATCCTGCACAAGATTGGTGCAGCCAACTGGGTGCCTACAAATCATAAATCAACTATCTCCACAGGATTGGGGAGATTTATTTATGCTGTGGGAACCAAGACTGCTTTTGACTATGGCAGGTACATCTTTGAACAAACTTTAAAGCATGCTGGTAGTTATGCTGTCAAAGGACCAATCGCCTTTCCCTCCCTCCTTTGTGGAATTATCCTTGCACAATACCCTGATATCCTGGTGGCAAGAGATACAGCCTGCAAAAGAGCTACTGCCCTTGGGTTACACTACAAACTGTTTCAGGGATCTCATGCTCCAGATATTGTCATAACATCAGCTGAGACATCGTCTGTGAAGACCCAGTCCAAGACATCTGATGTCATAGCTGTTTTAAAAGAGACCTGCAAAGAGCTGGAAGCTAGGAAAAAGACCCTAGAAATCCTAATTGCCAGGTTAGAAAAGGAGGAAGCTGAAGGAAATAGAAGGGAAGAAGGTGTAGAAGCTGAAGGTCATCTCAACATTGAAGAAACTAGCTCCTCTGAGTCTGATGACAGTGCTTAAAGGTTGGTTGCTGTTTGGTGGTGTTGCTGGTTGGTGCTGATATCTGGTGGAGTTTGGAAGTGTGTTCAGTTTTTTTCTCTGCTGCTGCTCTTATTATTTTTGGATAACTGTATAATCTTTATGAACATGTATCTTTGGCCCATTTGTGGCTAAAGAGGGGGAGAATATTTTGGTACTTACTTAATTAGTACCTGCTTAATTAGACATTCTATTTTTCTGCAGTCACTTATTTCTGCTGCTATCTATCTCTGATTGCTTAGGGTCTTTAGCCAAAAATCTGCCAAAGGGGGAGTTTGTAGTTGTTTAGTTATTGGCTTGCATTTTTGGTAAAACCCAAGTGTGTATGTGTGAATGTCATGACTGATGTCATAACATTCTAGTTTAGTTGTACTGATTCATTAGGTACCTTTGCAGAAAAATATTGTCATACAGGTACTGATGTTTATAAGTGTGTATCTGAGCATTTTGCAAAATGATCACATTTACCTAAATCAGTAGACAGGTTTTCAGATGTCATAACAGATGTTAAGACATCCTGTTCTGAACTAACAGGTATGCAGTTTGGTTAATTCTGAGTTTTTTCAGGAAAATGACTCAGTCTTTCCAGAACAGAATCCTGCGTTTTCTTTGGGTTAACCTAGCTCAACCCTAACCTGGTTGATAAAGTCCTGTGACCTAGTCTTAAGGTCAAACGGAATTAACCCTAGCTTTTTGGGGAAACCCTAACTGAAGATGCAGCTGCTATATATTCAACAGAGCTGCTGTTTTGCAAGGCATCCCTTTTTGGTCAGAAGATCATTTGTAAACTGTATAGGTTTAATTATTGTACTCCAAGCAATTATCATTGTGATAAGTGACTTGGAATAGGTTTTTAATTGTAAGGGTTGTGTAGCACTCAAAGCTTTGAAGCAAGAGTGTTTGAATGTTTCTTGACTAAAGCTGTGAAGCAGAGTCAAGTTAAGTGTGTGTATCACTCAAAGCTGTGAAGCAAGAGTGGTTGTGTTGCTTGATTAAAAAGCTGTGAAGCTTAATCAAGTGTATGTTTTTGAAGAGTGTCTTCATCAATTCATTAGTCAAATTGTTTTATGTATCACTGTTGTGATTGAGGGGGAGTGAGTAGGAACTCAGGTTTAAGTTGTACTTAGATTGAAATTGCATTGGGTAGGTCTTAAGTGAAGGAGATAAACTGGTTGGTTTATTCCTGAATTAACATCTCTTATAGTGGATTTCCTCCCTGGCTTGGTAGCCCCTAGAGTAGGTGTTGTTGCACACTGAACTGGGTAAACAATTGACTGTGTTCTTTACTGTTTTTGTATTTACTGTCTTATAGAAAGTCAGATACAGTGTCATAACATTAAACGTGACATTGAGTATCTGCAGCCAGAATTTCACTTTATACACCCGCTTTTTAATATTTGAAATGGACTAAAAAATTACACGGGTCCTTTCTGATTTAGAAAGACCCATGATTTTTCAAAATAGAGTAACTCCTTTGAATATTTAAAATGCGCTGAAACCTGAACAAAATCATACCCAAAAATGCAGTTGCCTAAAAAAAACTTACATGGGCTTTTCTGATTTAGAAAGGCCCATTGATTTATTAGTAAGATAAACCCGCTTTATAAAATCTAAACTCCCATAACTATATAAATAATATTTTATAAAGTAAAGTAATTTTTAGCAATAGGAATAAAAAAAATTAGGAACAAGTAGGGCAAATTTGAGGTATGACATTTGTCCCTATTTAATTGCCTTTCGATTGAATAATGCGAAACTACGTAGGTCTCGCACGTTCTGGTCAGAAATTTTTTAAATATTGGAAGACCCCAAAATTTGTCCGAAACATTATAAGGATACGTTGTACAACGCTCCCATGTGTATGAAAAGTAAGCATAGACGATGATGTATCATCTAATCCGTGTTTGAACCAAAGTTGATTTGACTTAGACATGACGACGCAAATAACTCGTCAGTATCTAAGAAGAAATCGTTTGCATATTTACCGTAACCTAGGAGGTAAATGATACAAGTTTGAAAAGCTGACTTACTAATACTTAGAAACTAATATAACAAGTTTTGATTTGATTTTGTCAATTCATCGCAACCTAGGGGAATAAAACAAAGTCTGATAATACATTGCTTCTTGGAGACTGATGCAATGGATTCCGCAGATTTATTCACATATCTACCACAACCTATGGGATAGATAATTGAACAAGCTTGATAACTACATCACTGCATGAAACCTGAAGCAATGAGTTATATCGCGAATTTTCCACATCGTTGCATGGAGACTGACGTAATGGGTTATATCGCAGAAAAAGCTTGATAATAACATTGATGCATGGAGACTGAGGCAATGGGCTAAATCTCAGAGAACCTGATAATAACATTGCTGCACGGAGACTGATGCAATGGGCTATATCGCGGAAAAGTTTGATAATAACATTACTGCATGGAGACTGATGCAATGGGCTATATCGCAGGAAAAATTTGATAATAACATTGCTGCATAGAGACTGATGCAATGGGCTATATCGCGGAAAAAGCTTGATAATAACATTGCTGCATGGAGACTGATCAATGGTCTATATCGCGGAAAAGGTTGATAATAATATTGTTGCATGGAAACTGATGAAATGGGCTATATCGCGGAAAAAGCTTGATAATAACCTTGCTGCATGGAGACCGATGCAATGGACTATATCGCAAAAAAAGCTTGATAATAACATTGTTGCATGGAGACTGATGCAATGGTCTATATCACGGAAAAATCTTAGTAATAACATTGCTGCATTGAGACCGATGCAATGGATTACACAAATTTATTCGCGTATCTATCACAACCTAGGGGATAGATAATTGAAAACATGTTGATAACTACATTGTTGTATGGGATTGAGGTAATGAGTTATATCACTGAGGAGAAAACACATTGCTGCATGGAGACTGACACAACGTGTTATATCTGTTGCAATTGGTTTTTAAATCAGAGTCGCCACCCTTAATTTTTATCCTAAAAGAAGGGAATATAAAGGTTAACACTAAAAAGTCCAGAGATTCTAGGTCTGACTCGGTTCTAGACAAAGGGAAGGTGTTAGGCACCCCTCATCTACCTTGTTCACAAGGATACTAAGTTTAGAAGCGTAATTTTTAAGAAATAGGGTTTTAATTTTAAGCAGGAGAAAAAGGTTTAAATTTTTTGTAAGGGAAAAAGGGTTTAAATTTTTAGCAGGGGAACTCACCACTATTTTTTGATCGTATGCCTACGTATCCTCTTAGGAGGAATCAGAGTCCCATTTCGTAGTGTAGGGATTGATGTTTTTTATAGAATTGTGTAGAATTGCTTTTGAATTTATCCTTGAACCTTGTCTGAGTTGTAAATTGAGTCAGCGTAGACGTAGTTCACAGTTAATTCCAAAAGAAATTCTCCTTAATCCTTTTTCAAAAATAATCTTGAGTTTTTTATTATGTTAGTTGAAAAATGTTTGATGTTGGTTAGCTATTTTAATATTTTGATTAGTCGAAGTATTGTGTAAGGTATAGAGCGGAGAGTCTGATATAGTCTTCTCATCACGTAGCCATATATTGACCACGTGTCACCCATTAGTGAATTGCGTGGTAAAATACCGAATTAAATTAATTGAAAAAATCACTCGAATACACATAAACTAATTTTATCTAAAACTTAAAAGATATGTTTTTTTCATTTTGTATTTTATATATTTTCTAATAAGAAAGTAAATATTCTAGTTAAAATAAAATTGGATTAAATAAAATAAGAAGAAAAGGGTGCAAGACTTAATTAAAGGGATATGAGGTTAGTAAAAACATAGAACCCAAGGCCCAGCCCAATTCAATGTCTAAATCTAAAAGTCCTAATTGGTAACTAAATTAATAAAACCAAAGTAAAAATGATAAATAAAAAAAAACTATAGTGACAACAAAGCTTCAGAAGCCAGTATTTCATCTTTCCTATTGACCACTTCTCTTATCTTGATTCCTAACAAATCTCCAATGTCAAATTCCCAACCACAAAAATCAACACCCCAAATTCTTTTCTTTTCAAACCAATTTCAACATTAATCTAGCTCAAAAGGTGGGAGTGAAAGGCTTACCGGCCTGGACTACATACCAGCCGCGATGGGTTTCGAGTGGGGTAGCCGGCGAGTTGGATGCAGGTGGCGGCCAGGATCAAGCGGCGGGCGACGGCGGTCTGGGAGCCTGTGACAGTGACTCTCTTTGCTGAGTCAAAGCATCTGAATCGGGTGGTGAGCTGTCTGCGTATCGGAGTCGCGAGGGGGGTGTATAACAATATTCAAAGAACACTTAGAATCAAATATGACAAAAAAAGAAGAAACTAGTCATCAGGTTAACAATAAACTTAAAAAAATGAAATTGAAAATGGTTGATTTATTGTAACGTGAAAACAAAGCTAGAAAGTATGTACAATGATGAAAAGCAATAAAAAATGGGAGGTTTCATCGGGCAAAAATATAAAAAATATTTTTGAAAAAAGAAATTGTAAAAAAATAGTAACAAGAGGAATGTGTGATTTGTGAAATTGTTGGTGATTTCTATTCTTGACTAATTGTTGTCTATTTATATTGGTTTCTTTCATCAATAAAAAGAGAAATAAAACTAAATTGTTGATTAAGAAATAAATTTTCCTTTAATTCGTTTTGATTTTGTGTCACAAATAACCAATCATATCAAGAATGTCCAAGAATAAAAACTAAATAAAGTAATTTAATATTTTTTGATATTTTTGTATATTTTTATGTTAAAAAATGCATAAAATGAAAAATTAATAATTCTTAAAATATGAATAAATTAAAAAACGAAAATTAATAAAATGCAATTTTTTGTGATTTTTATTTATTTAATATAATATAAATAAAACAAAAATAAAGTTTAAAAAAAAAAGAGAAAAATTGTAAAAGTGGAAGATGTGAGGTTTAAACCTCTTACTTCATATTTGCAAGCTTCATTCTTTACCAATTGTGCTATGTTACTCATTTGTAACTCAATTTAAAGTATATGAAAAGTGTGCAAATATTTGTTATTTTTTTAAAATACAAATAATTTGAAATAAATTATTATATTTTTAACTGGACTTGAGAATGAATATCTATAAAAATCAAATAATATTATAAAAATAATGTTTAAAATATTTTTGATTGGACTTGAGAATAAATATCTATAAAATCAAATAATATTATAAAACAATGTTTAAAATATTTTTGACTGTAGAAATAAAAGGGCGGACAAATTTAGGGTATGACAGCTGCCTCTATTTAATTACTTTTCGATTGAATAATGTGAGAATACGCATGTCTCACACGTTCTGATCAAAAGTTTATTAAATATTGGAAGGCCCTCAGAATTTGCCCAAAAGATCATAAGGATACGCTGTACAACATTCCCATGAGTGTGAAGAATATGCATAAATGATGATGTATCATCTTACCATTGTTTGAACCAAAGTTGAGTTGACTTAGATATGACGACGCGGATAATCCGTCAGTATCTAAGAAGAGGTCGCTTGTATTCTTACCGTAACCTAAGAGGTAAATGATACAAGTTTGAAAAGCTGACTTACTAATGCTTGGAGACTAATATAACAAGTTTTTATCTGGTTTTGTCTATTCACTGCAAACTAGGAGATGAATAAAACATAGTGTGATAATACATTGCTGCCTGGAGACTAATGCAATAGATTATGCAGATTTATTCGCATATCTACGACAACCTAGGGGATAGATATTTCAAAAGCCTGATAACTACATTGCTGCATGGAGCGTGACACAATGAATTATATTGCCGACTTCATCATGTTTACTACAACTGAGAGAGCAAATAACTCGAGGATCAATTCACGTATTCATTGCAACCTAGAGAATGAATAATATGAATCGGTAATTTACACATCTACCACAACCTAGGGGGTAGATGATTGAAAAAGCTTGATAACAACATCGTTGCATGGAGATTGAGGAAATAAGTTATATCGAAGAAGAAACTTGATAATTGTAAGTCTAAGAGTGCCTAAGAGGGGGGGGGGGGGGGTGAATTAAGTATATAAAAATTTATTCGGTTTTATGAGAATACTTGTAGTAATTTGTGGTTAAGTGTTTGAAGGTTTTTGACTATATCTTATCTTTTCTTGATTATGGTGATGAAAACGATAAAAGCGGAAAAATAAAGAACACGGCGATATATCCTGGTTCCCCTCACAATCCGAGAGTACTCCAGTCCCCTTTCCAACACGAAAGAGATTTCACTATAGTTTAGAATGATTGTACAACCTATGCTTACTATCTAACCTATAGGGTGACCAAAGGTTCTTAACACCTTTAAGGTCAAACAAACACTAATGTGAATGAAGAACAATCCTCTTCAAATTACAACACTTACTTCCAACAATCCTGGATAGTAAGGGAATACTTTCTTTTTGTAATACAATGATTTATTTGAAAGAGATGGAGAGCAATATCAATCTTTGATTGATCTTCTTCTTCAAGAAAGAAACAATTCTCAAGCAATGATTATAAATGTTCACAATGAATGTATGAAACTTGTAATGATTTCTTAATGAAAATGTATATGGCAAGTTTCACAAAATTTATGATTTGTAAGAACACTTGAAAGTTTGTAAGAATATGCAAATTTGAATGATGAAAATTGTTAATTGAAGAAGGTTATTTGAATTTGAAAATCTGCACAATTTATAATGTCACAAATACCTCTTCATTCATGCCATTTGATATGAAAAGATGCAATGCAATCATGAAAGAATACCATTTGAATTATGTTAAAAAAACAAAAGAAAATCTGTACTGGTTCGCTGGGAACCGGTTCCGACCCAGGCAGAACCCGGTTCTTAGTGAACGTTATAACCCAGAATTCAAAAAATAACACGCAGGAACCGGTTCCCCTATATGTACAACCCGGTTCCTGGTACAAATTCCAGGGAAGTGTTTTTTGAACAAGTTTGGAACCCGGTTCCCTGTTAGGTAGGAACCGGTTCCTGAAAGTTTATTTTTAAAAAAATCCTTTTGAAAAAGATTTCAAACATAGTTTTTCTTATTGTTAAAAATGTGGGATATGTATATGATTATGAATGCATATTTGTGAACATCTATATTCAAGTTTAAGAATTATTTATACCTTTTGACATTTGTTGTTTCTTTAATAATTCTTCTTCTAATCTTCAAGACTTGTAACAAGGTTTTATATGATATTGATAAACTTTTTGCACATCCTTTGAATGTTGATATCCATGTTGTCTTCATCAAAACAATACTTTAAACATGACTTGAGAAGCTTGCAATTACAATCTCCCCCTTTTGGATGATGACAACCAAGTCTTGAAAACAATTCTTGAAATATTTATGTTGTTTTGTGTAGCAAAAATGTTAAGCAAATGCAAGGCTCCCCCTAAATTGTATGCTCCCCCTAAGTCCATGATTCTTTGAATTTTGGAGTGAGTTTTATGATAGTTATTTTGGCCTGCAATTTCTTTGAAACAAAACAACACATATGCATATTCTTCTCCCCCTTTGTTAACATAAAAAAGGATGGGGAAAAAGAGTGAAACAAATTCATAAAAAACACAAACAATATATACACACATATTTTATCAAATAGAAACATATAAAAGAAGGAGTAGAAGCAGAGTGTACTGAAACATAATTTTTTTTTTGAAGAAAAATTAAGACGTGCACCTTATGAGAAACATTTAGAGATCACCTTCATCCAAAATACCAAGTTCTCTTTGGATTTTGAAGAATGGTTCTCGAGCAAGCGGTTTTGTGAAGATATCTGCGAGTTGGTTATGAGTATCCACAAAAGTGACTTCGACATCTCCTTGAAGTACATGATCACGGAGAAAATAATGTCAAATATCTATATGTTTGGTTCTTGAATGCATGACCGAATTCTTTGTAATATTGATAGCACTTGTATTGTCGCATCGAAGAGGAATTCATCCGAGATCAAGTCCGTAATCACAGAGTTGTTGCTTGAGCCAAAGAATTTGTGCACAACAACTACCCGCTGCTATGTATTCTGCTTCGGCCGTGCTAAGAGCAACACATGCTTGCTTTTTACAAGCCCATGATACTAATGCATTTCCAATAATGTGACAAGTACCACTTGTGCTTTTACGATCAGTTTTACAACCTGCATAATCCGCGTTAGAATAACCAATTAAAGTGCAAATACTACCTTTAGGATACCATAAGCCGACATTGGTTGTTCCTTTGAGATACTTCATGATCCTTTTAACTGCCATGAGGTGTGATTCCTTTGGATTTGCTTGAAAGCGAGCACAAATACAAACACTAAACATTATGTCAGGACGGCTTGCCGTCAAATACAATAAGGAACCAATCATACCTCGGTATTTTGTAATATCAATTGGAGTACCGGATTCATCTTGATCAACATATGTACCGGAGCCCATTGGAGTATTCATTGCTTTACAATTGTCCATATCAAACTTTTTCAATAATTCTTTGCAATACTTAGATTGGTTGATGAAGATTCCATCTTTTAGTTGCTTGATTTGTAGTCTAAGAAAGTAGTTCATCTTTCCCATCATAGACATCTCGAATTCTCCTTGCATCATCAATGAGAATTCCTCACACATTTCTTTGTTAGTCGATCCAAAAATGATATCATCAACATAGACTTGAACCAATAAAGTGTTACTTTTGATTTTCTTAATGAACAAAGTTTTATCAACCTTACCCTTTTCGAAACCTTTTTCACATAAAAAATTGCTAAGTCTATCATACCATGCTATTGGTGCTTGCTTTAAGTCATAAAGAGCCTTTCTCAACTTAAAGACATGTGTAGGATGTTTGAAGTCTTCAAATCCTGGAGGTTGTTTGACATAGACTTCTTCATTGATGTATCCATTCAAGAATGCGCTTTTAACGTCCATTTGAAAAAGCTGAAAATTTAATGAACAAGCATAAGCAAGTAAAAGACGTATAGCTTCTAACCTTGCAACCGGAGCAAATGTTTCTTCAAAGTCGATTCCTTCCTCTTGATTGTAGCCTTGGGCAACCAACCTTGCTTTGTTTCGAACAATTAGACCATTCTCATCAAGTTTGTTCTTAAACACCCATCGGGTACCTATGATGTATTTACCACTTGGTCTAGGAACAAGTTCCCAAACTTGATTTCTCTCGAATTGATTTAATTCTTCTTGCATAACAATAATCCATTGATCATCTCCTAAGGCTTCATCAACTTTGGTAGGTTCAATTTGAGAAACAAACGCCATGTTTAAGCAAGCATCTTTTAGATTTAATCTTGTTGATACTCCTTGGCTAATGTCACAAATAATTTTGTC